TGTTGTTCAAAATGGATATTTTTTTAGCATATTAATATTTGAGATTGTTAATTTAAAACAAAAAACTCTTAATGATTTTTGGATTTTGTGTAATCTAAATCTTAAAATTGATCCTAATCAAATTTTTCAAGTCAATGTAAATAAAATTATATATGAGAACTGCTAAATCCATTAAATTTATTCCATATAAATATTTATTAAATCTATATGTTTAAGAATTTGAATATGCAAAAAAATAATAATTGTAATTTATCATTAAAAACAAAGTTATAAGACTTTAAAGATAATTATTATTTAAATTCAAAATTATGGTTTTATTTCTAATAACATAAAGAAATTAAAAAAAAACTTTGGGAATAACCAATTCTTGATAACATCAATGTATAGCCGTTCAATAAATCCCAATCCAATCTCTTATAGGCTTCTTCTAAAATGATGTACTGAGTTGGTCACCAATGAACACAAGCAATGATAAGCAACTCAGCTTAACTCTGGCATTAACCATAATAATCTCTTTACAAAGATAAGTTAATAACTCTTTAACAATATTTGATATATAATTAATAATATCATTAGAATTTAATTTGTTTAAGTTGTAATTACAAAATTAGATGGTTATTTAGCAGGACAACCACAAAAACAACTATTAATTTTATTTGAGAAAATTACTATAATGTAAATGATTAGGAACCAACGATATGAAAGGATGATTGCAAAATATATTAATAAATATGGAATCACAGCTAAAAAATATTGCTTGGGATATGGGATGAGTATTTTTTTCCATTTCTAAATAAAAGGATACATAAATTTAAAATTTAAATATTATTCTATCTATTCAATAATTTAGAGATTATAAAATCAATCACAATCCATCCATATTAATTTAATAATTGAAGTAAATATTTAAAAAGATGAGAGATAAATGAATTTTCTTTAACAATTTTAAAAACTTAATTTTTTTTAAGGATATAACAAAATCTGACGGAATAAATTGCAGCCTAAGGCATAGTATCGAACAACGATTATTTCATTAATAGCTTAAAAATGTACTTCAGATAAAATTTAAGGGTACTGAAGTCGAATAAAATTAAGATACTCTTGCACATTATTTGAATAATGATGGATAAATAACTTAAATTATATATTAATAATTAACCATCAATTAAAAATAGAAATGTAAAAATTATTATTTTTATTTAAATGATTTATCATCATTTACCTATTGGAGTCCAATTATTCGAAGTCATACCATCTTCATTATATAAATTACAACGACTGATTTTGATAATTTATAATAAAGTATAATTACAATTTTTTTCTTTGCGACATCATATTCCATTCTCCACTTTTCTTCCAATTTTTATATTCTCCTCTTAAAGTAACTTAATTGCCACTGAATCGTAAATCTATTAATTACCTCCAAAAAGTCTCACATAAATCTACCCAATGTCCTTTTTTCATTCCATTCTAATCATATGAACGCCTCCTCTATATGTTAGAATTAGTATTTACATTTTAGTTTTTTTTGGATCAAATAAAATATTCCATGCACCAATTCTTTTACCCTAATAATATTCACCTTTTTCAGTGATGTACTATGTTAGCCCGAACAACCAAAATCATAAGAATTTCAATAAATTATTATCAAACTCAAACCTAAAATAAAAAAGTAATTCAGAAAAAAATTAATTAATTAAATATTTTAAATTGTTTATTTTAAAACCAACCAGATCTTTTCAGTTTGATTTATTTTTATCTCAACTGTAAATTACTAATTTAATAAATTTAAAAATGAAC